AAACTCCACGGGCTTTCAGAATATATAATTAGTTTTAAATAAACGTGTTTTTACAGCGACAATAAATGAGAAATACAGAGTAAAACTATTTTTTTTTGAGGGGATATATATAGAGAGAAAACAAAAACGAAAAAGATAATCTGGGTACATTCTTTCACATGAACTTAGTTTAAACATTAAGTAAAGCAAATGAAGTCGGTCAGACATCTTCTTTTCCAACTGCGCAATAAGAAGAGAAAGAGATAGAACGAAAAATCAAATATGAATTTCGAGGTTTTAATGATGAAGGAAAGAAATGTTCGATATGTGTACGAAACAGAAAATAGATAGATATTGCACAAGAAATAAAGAAGAGAAGAGAGAGAAAAAAAAGGACCTATATATACGTGTAGAGAGATAGCACACATAGTTAGTATAAAAATATATTACTTTAAGTAATTCATATGATTGTTTTTATTTAATTTAAATTCAATTATTTTCCTGATAAATTTGGATTATTTTTGTTGTTTTATATCGATTTATTTATGAAATAAAAATCGTTTATAATCCATTCTGTTTTTAGATTTTCAAAAATATTATAATTTCTACAAACGGTATATTATGGTGGATGTTAAACTTAATGGTAGACAAAATCTTGTTCGTCTTGCCAATTCGGTTTTCGTGGAGGAAGGGTTTCAACCAAAACCTGAATCGGTAAGAAACTGTCTTTTAATAGTCTTTTTTTCTGTCCTTGCTGTACAGCAAAAGAAATTTGTCTTTTAAAATAATGTAGCTGATCAAAATTTGATCATCTATGTTAAAAATGATGTGTCTATGGAGACACTTCACGTGTTCAACCATGATGCCTATACAATTACATTTGTGGTAAGTGCTGAAAATCGTTTCACTTTATATGAATAAAAAAAAATCAATTTTAGCATGAATCTGAACCTGAACGTAACACATAATGTACAACCTTTTCAAGTGATGGTATCGGATTATGTCGATCAAGCTGGGTAAGGTTAAATGTATGATGATTTAAATATAAAGTTATTTTTAGTCAATTGAAAAAAGAAGTTTCTTTCAAAAGGAAACTCAGAAGTAAAATACAAAAACATTGTTCAAATGCCAATGTTACGAATAATCAAGATGAAGAAAAAAATGAAGAACAGGAAGAAAAAAAAATGATAATGATAACGAAGATTTTGCAACAGCAATAGTTAATGTAAAATCTACTATACAAAAGTATGTAATAGGAATTTCATGAAACAGGAAATGACACAAGTCTTGAAGTACAAGTGTGAAAAGTTGAACTGGTTCTCCTCCTTTCACAGATCGTTATAGATAGCATACCTAATTGTCAAGTTTATTAAATCACTAATAGAAAAATTCACGATTTCTTGCAGATTAGACAGGGCTAGGATAACATTGATTTAGTTCCAAATGATAAATCAAAAAGAGTATCGAGCTGTTGGGTGATTCCGTGGAAATCCTACTATGGTTCACAAAAGTACCTTAAAATCGCGTCAAACTTTCAGAGTCTGTAGAGCTTGTTGCACTGATCATTTTGACTATAAAAAAGTTAATAATTGCACTTAAAATGACGGAGAAAAATTTGAAATACTACATAGGATTTTTATTAGACAATCATTTTTTTCAGTTTACTACAAAGCATAGTTTAATGATATTTCGATCTCTGTATAAAAACATTTCTTCTTTTAGAAATGTATATTTCGATGTAGCTGTCAACAATTATATCATTGGTCGTATTCAATTTAAAGTAAAACTAAGAAGTATTTTCTTGATAGAATAAATGTTTACCTTTTCTTATAGCTATACGACGATGATGTTCGATTAACAGCAGGTATCATTAAAAAAACGATTTTCTTAATTCTAGAAGTTTATTTTATTTTCAGCCAATTTTCGAGCATTATGCACCGGCGAAAGAGGTTTTGGCTACGTAGGAAGTACATTTCATCGTATAGTACCTCAGTTTATGGTTCAAGGTAATGATTTTTATTGATATTTTTGTTGTATTATTAATTATTTGATTCGATAGGTGGTATGATCAACAATGAGTAAGATAATAATAAAATCAAATTGTATTTGATAAATATAATGATCTTTTTCTTTTTTGTATTTAAATAGCAGTTGTACCGGTGATAAAAGGTAGGTTGATCATTTGAGTTTATATCGTCATTTAAATATGAATTATTATTTTTTCATTTAGCATCTATGGTGAATATTTTAATGATGAAAACTTTATACATAAACATTCAAAACCTGGAATTTTATCAATGGCTAATGTTAAGCGACCACATACTAATGGTTCACAATTTTTTATTACCACTAATCCAGCACCACATCTTAATGACAACTATGTACAGTATCTCAATTCATTAATTCTTTTATTTACTGTTTTTTCTCTCTTAAAGGTCGTGTTCGGTGAAGTCACGGATGGTATGGATGTTGTTAAGAAAATCGAAAGTTATGGTATACTATTGCACTATTGTTATTTTTATCAAAATCTACTTTATATAAATTTAGGTACATAACGAGGAATTCCAATGGCCACAATTATGATCATCAAATCGGGCGTTGTGGAACAATAACTAAAAAGAACATTTTTTAAAATTATTATAGAAAATGTAACACTCGTGAGTGCTTACATGATTGTATGAAGGAATAAATATGATATTTAAATATTCAGCAACAACATAGATACAAAAAATTTCACCGTTTCTAGCAATGTCATTATACCGTACTTTGACTCACGAGGAAACCTTCTCAACTGTCAAATCGCTTTTCCACTGAGTATATGCTTAAATGATAGACTCTTTTGAGTTGTTAAATCCCGATCCTACTCCATGTAGTATGTCGACAAAGCATTTTATGATCTTGTTTTGACTTTACTATAAGAAGAAGGTATTTTTCCATAATATTCATGATGTTGAAAAAACTCATTTTCTCAATTAGAAATTGAGCTTATGTTAGATCTTTGAGAAACTAACCAAAAATGAATGCTGTTCTTATAATAAAGTCAAAACAAGATCATAAAATGCTTTGTCAAGATACTACATGGAATAGAATAGAGCTAGATCCCTAAAACATCGATATTTGTATATCTCCACTCCGGAGGTCTAAATAAACCGAATCCTTTGGAGGGTTTTAATAACTCAATAGAGTCTATCATTTGAGCATATGCTCGTTCAAAAAGCGATTTAACAGTTGAGAAGGTTCCCTAGTCAGTTCGTCTTAGTGTTGAGAGAACAGGTATAGAGAAGAAAAAAAAGCATACAAAAATTTAAAAAAGAGATTAAGCAGAAGCGATTATTAGTGCAAGAGCCCAGTGATTATTGGCGGCAAAGTGCAGTTTCGCATGAAATAGATGACATATTTAAGAAGGACAAACCTATATAACGTGTCAAACGTTTTGATAAATGCGACATCAAAAGAGTGTAACTGTGATTATTCTCTTCAAACCATTCTCTTAGACCTTGAGACTTCTATCATATCTATAACTACTACATTTGGTATGCCTATCCCAATACGTGATAGTTTTTCATAGAACATCTAAAAAGGTGTTGATTTATTCATGCTTCATAACTTGCCACTTCTGTGATTCATTAATATAAAAAATTCAATTAGATATAACAGGTGATCAAGGACGAGGAATCTATTTAAGAGATTTTGATCAAGTTGTTAAGCAAGTTCTGATGATATATATTTAACAATTAAATCAAAATATTTACCAAAACAAAAAAACTAATAAATTAGTTACTTATGACGGTAAAATAAAAAGATTTCAGTTTGATTGTTTTGAAAAATCTTAATTTAGATCAAACAATAAAAACATACAATTTGGTTGTCGTTTATCATTAATTTGTGATCTATCAATTAGTTATGTTCAACATGGAAAATTTCTTGATTTCGCTTATAATGATAGAAGATTTAATATAAAAATTGATCCATCACATTTAAAATAAGATCAAGTTCATTTTACTACATTACACAAGCATTTGATACTAATCAAATCAATTCAGAACCATCAGCTCATTTTCCAATAACAATTATAAAGCCGATTAGATAACAATAAGCAGAGTTAGAAAATGAGTTCTATTATACTTCTTTTTTTTTCTTCAAGTCTAAATGCTCAAACTCATTCTCTCGAATTTAATTCTCAAACATTTAAAGCTGATCAAATTCGTCGTCATTTTCTTCATGTTCCAACTGGTTCAAATATAGCTAGTTTAGTTATTTATATTTATTTCTTCTATTGAATATTGAATTGTTTTCTTGCATAGTTTTGAAAATGACAAATCATTCTAGTGATATATCTACTCAAATAAATTTACATTTTGTTCAACTTGAACAAGGTGATTCATTTCATTTAACAGAATTTGAAAAAATAATTAATTTATTATCTCATTCAACGTTTCAATGTGATTTTAATGTTCAAGATAAGCGAACATTAGAATTATGTTTAACAAGATGGCGGCCTAGTTGACCTATTATGGATACAAGTTATTCAATAGAATTTCATTCAATACTTATTTCACCTTCAATTTTATTGCATTTACGTAGTAGTCAATCTTATGAAAGATTTATTTTAGAAAATCGTTTAAATTATACTTATGAAGATATAAATGATTTACCTATTAATTGAAAATATTTAGTATAAACATTGAGAGCAAATAAAGATGAGAGTAAAATAGAAATTTTATCAAAAAAGAGATTGTTTATCTAAACAAAAACAAATTTATCAATTAATTTTAGTTTTTTATTTTACTTTAATAAGAACAATTATTTTCTTTTTCATTTATTAAAGAAAGTATTTTGATTTTTAGTTAAAAGCATCAGAAATTCAAGTAAAATGATATTTACATGAATTAGTCTGTGATAATGAATACGAAGCTGCATTATGGATGTGTTCTGATGCAAATAAACAATATCTAGGTTCAGAAGATGTTATAAAACATGTAAGAAAACAACGTTCTATTTTAATCTATTTATTTTTGTGTCATTTATAGTATTGATTAAAATTAGAAAAAGGTAATTTTGTCATTCGAATGAATATTCGACATGATAAACAAGATTTATTAGAACGTTTATTAAACGATAATGGTGAAACTGGTTTAACTTTACATATTGAATATAAAGTAAATGGATTACCAACATCAGATTTTTATCATTCATTAGATGTATTCTTTACATACACAAAAGAAAAAAATTCAAGCATCATCTATTAAATTAAAATAGGAACATCAACTTTCTATTTATATGACAACTGTACCTGAAAACAAGTTTGTTCAATTTTTTTCTTATTGAACGCTATTTCTAATAGATTTCGTTTTTAGACTTCCAAAAATATTTAATTCAACGGAAGGAACATTTCTTCAAGGCACAATGACATTTCCCAAAAATGGAAAAATGAAAAAATTGGTTCAAGTTTTTTCTTGGCTCTAAACAAATAAATAAAATATTTTTTGTAAGAAATGAATATGATTTATCAATATTTTATTGAGCCTAGTTCATCATCTTCATCAAGTTCTTCGAAAAAATCTTCATCGAGCAGTGTTAGTAGTGGAAGCAAAAAACAAGTAAATTCACCGACGACAACAAATAAAGAAGGAACAACAAATAGTCCATCATCACGAAAAGATCGACAATATCAACATGTATTATGACAATAAATTACTTTAAATTCCTATTTCAGTTCTTTTTGATTAAATTTCCTTTAATATACTAAAAGAAATACCGGATGATACATTGAATATTCTCGTCCTTTTTCTCCTTTCATCTTAAATTCTTAAAGATCATAAAAAAAATAATTAATTCCTTTTTGTCTTGTAGGAGATATAATAATGACTATATTAGAAAACAATAACTATTCTTAAAAGTGTTTAATAATGATTTTGATCATGTCTTATTTTTGTAGTTTATCTCATATAAAAAAAAGATTTAGTTATAATCGATTCTTTACTAAAAGACATTTGCACTGCTAAATAATGTTTATCACATCTGCAGTAGTTTTTAGTGGTTCTTTAACCGTTTGAGTTCTGAATTTTTTCTACCGAATCGGATTTGATGAAATTTGGTATAAAAAGTAACTAAGTAACACTAGGAACCATGTGGTTAAATTACAATTAAAGGAAGCACTTGATGACATGAACATGAAAACATTTTTGTTGTTACATTTTGATAAAGAATTTCTATTAGAATTAATTTACTGAAACATTTATTTATTTCATTACTAATATACGTGTTTTTTTATGATACAACAAAAACCGATTTTTCTACATGAACATCAACACAACAAACGTTACAAACTAAATTCATCCTTTTCTCTCTTTCTTTCATGTTACAATAAGCGTACGACGATAAATTGAAATAATTTTTGTATAAAGGAAAACATTTATTTTACTTATTATTCTTAATGATTAATATAATCGTCAATCACTACTTTTAAAACATAAGTCAATTAACTTTGATGTTCTCATTCGTAAAGTAAAATATGCAATATTTTTTCTAAATTTGTTACGCTTAATTTTGTTGGGTAAGGTGCCTAAGACATGCAATACAACGTATTTAATACTTTCTTGTTTTATATAATATGTTAATGAAAAATTCAATAAATCCTCCGTCGTAATGTTGAGTGGTGAACATTTTTAGTTGCTTTGACACTACATTGAATCTCTCTATTATGAACACATTCGGGACTTTTTAAAAACGTTCCCTATACGAAGATACTCACATTAGAAAGATAACCTATGATTCGCCGTGTAATGAAGAAAAACCTAGATAATATCTGATCCTTCATTAATTCTGAACAAACTTCCGATTATCGACTTTTATCTAAATCATTTTTCATTGAAATATTGTTTGGCTATAACACAAAGTTATCATACATATAATGCATTCATAGTGCATAAAAAAACAAGTGATAGAGAATAGAAGAAGCTCAAAAAAGAAAAACATTGTACATGTGCTCGCATTAGAGATGTTCTAATAGCAAGAGAGACTGCAAAAAGTGTTCACTATTTAGAATAGCGAAACCTCCAAAGATATTTCAATTAAAAACTGTTTCGTCAAATCTGAGTGTTCGTAATTAGAAACTGTTCAGTAGTGAAGGTTCCTGTGTACTACAATAGTAATATATCGATTTCAAATCACTAGTTCTATTGAATAATCGGACAGACACAACAACGATAAATGATACAAATTATAGATATGTATACGATAATTCAAAAGAGTATTTGATAGATATGATTCAAATTCAAAATGTAAAATATCTTTGTAATTGCACTTTAGACACTATTCTCTATAGACTACATTTCATTATTGATCTAAAATTATTCTTATTTTTATCAAACAAATATCGTTACTTTCAATGCTACAAATATCAACTTGAAGTCTTTCAAGGTGAAAAGCATTTTTTAGACGTCTTTTTTTTTTAAGCATGTTTAATAGAATTAATTGTTTCTGGATAATTATAATGTAAAGATCTCTTTCTAGAGCAATATCCCTGTTCCAAACGAATTTGATTCATTGTCGGAAAAAATTGATCGATTTAGAAAAAACAAAGATTTCTTTATTACACATTATTGATGTCCACACAAAGATAGAGAGAAAACAAAAATAAAGAGGATAACTTCAACAGATTCTCTCACTTAAATTCAGATCAAACAATTAATAGAGAAGATGACGTTAGATATCTTCTTATTCAATTGTGCAATAAGAAGAAAAAGAGGAATAAAATATGAATTTCGATTCTTTTTTTTTTTTTTGTTGACGAAGATAAGAAATGACTAAAATGTGTGCGAGACGGAAAATATATAGATAATGCACAAGCATAGTTTTTGTCTGATTCTGCTGAGAGGAGAGAAAATTTTCAGGAAAAAAGTCTTCCAAAGCTAAAGAAAAATGACTTTTCGCATCAGGTTTTTTTTACAGTAAAATAATTGTATTCTCAGCTGGAACTTTGAAGCATTTTGTTATCAATTGAATTGGAATAATATTTTCTTTACTATTTTGTATCTTCATAAATTAATGGAAATAATTTAGATAAATGAGAAACAAGTTTATTTTTGCTACACACAATTATTTATATCAATAATTTCAAAAGCAATGTGCTTTCGAAACATTGTCTAATGTTTTTGTCTATTTTTCATTGTCACTATCATCATCATTATTGTCTACCTATATATTTTGACATTATGAGCTTTTGCTCTTCCCAGATACATAGAAAAATGATGTAGAATACCATCTATATCATTGCATTAACATTTTATCTCAGTATAGTAAATATCAGAGCCATTTCTAATGCTATGGATGAGAGCTTATTTCATAGTTTAGTTTTAATTCGTTCTAGTCCACTGAAATTGCATTTTTTCTTTGAATCTTAACAATTTTCTCTTGAGGATGTGGATGCGTCTCAACTATTAGATAGACACGTGCTACTTGCAATAATGAAAGTACATTTTTGTCTGAGAGAATATAGCTGGTTTCATTAGAGACCTACGGGACAAACTTTTCTGTGTTCCAAATTCCATTTGCCCCGTCCGAAATCTTACTGAATGGTCTAGAAAAGACCCGCTTCTCTTGTAAGCTGGAAAACATTTAAAGATATAGTTTGTTAAAAAACAATACGAATTTTCTATACTGACAAGAGAAACAATTTATTCACATCCATGATTAGGAGATGAATTAATTATGTTCTGATAGATTTTATTGTCTATACAATATCAATCAAGAAAAATGTTCACATGTAACTAAAATGTAATATTTGCTATTTATCGAACAAAATATCTGAACTTTGAACATTTAAGGAAAGTTGTCTACTCTCCCTTAGTCCAAGTTTAGAATGGCAAAAAAAAAAAAATTAATTTCAGATATAACTATAATTTCAATACATTCTCATTTTCATCCATACATTGATTCATGTATACAGTACATTAACTAAATGAGATCATGTGTCTAAATTGCAGTATAACTTTTATCACTAATGAAGAAAATAAAAATACACAGTTTTTAATGAATCTCACAGTATATTTTGCTGCATTTTTTGTTACACTAATTATTTAAACATGAAAATGTTTGCTAAAAATATGAAATTCTAAACCTATAGCGACTTCAGATACACAAATTCAAAAATTTCGTGACAAACATTTTTTGAATTATTCTCAAAAGTCCCACAGGCCTCTAGATTTCATTTGACATAATTCATTCAGCTCACCAAAATATTAAAAATTGCTAAGTGGTTGGAAAGAAAATCTTCAGGAAGAAAGCTATAACATAAAAATTCAGAGAGAGGAAATCCAACCTTCTCCTCTTTTGATCGTATACACTCCAACTTTGCAAATCACCTCTGTATGATGTGAGATGCATCAATAATAAAGTCTCTTCTTTATATCACAATCACTCATCAACACTCTTATTTATGTGTATTTTCATATTCAATATTCAGATTATGAAATAATCATTAACATTTACTGACAAAATTCATTCTTCTATTGGAGACATTTAGAAGTACTAGCAGCTGGAAAAAAAAACTCTCAGATATTGCAAGGTAGCATCATGTACTACAAGATATTAGGAACTACTTATCCTAAATTAACTGATGTACTCTATAAACATGTTTCTACGTATGACTTTTGCTCTCATTCTCAGTAAGAGAAATATTCTGTATTTTCATTTGAGTCTTCACTTTGAAGAACATCTTGCTTGATATAAGTAGAAAAATGAAAAACACTTAAAAAAAATATTCTTCTTTCAATTTCTCAAATTTTCTAAAACTTCTTTTTATTTGAGAAGAAAAAGTTATTCTATTTCTTTTCATCTGATTATCAAATGAACAAATCTGAAACATTAAATAAGTGGATACACATACTTAATTCATTTCATGATAATTTCTATTATAAAAATGATTCATTTTGTTTTTGACATTTTTTTTTCTCTTAGAATTATTTTACAATCAAATGAATCGAACGAAAAATATACAAACAAATGTCAAATATTATCTTTGAAAATATTTTATTGAAAGTCAAATATAAAATAATAGTTAACTTTTAAAGAATCATTTCTATTTGATACGAATGACATATTATTTATTTTATTAGATCTATAACAGACAGCATTCATATTCATCGCTATATGAAATAATAACAAAGAGAGAAAAAGGCGATATCATTCTTTTTGCGTCTATTCATCGTCAATTTCGATTATAGAAAAATTTTTCATTGTTCCATTGACGAAATCGGTCAAATTGAATAAATCTATATAAACGAAGAAAAATGAAAAGGTGAAGTTAAACATGGAAGTTTTGTCGGTGGAGTTAAATGATTTACCTGATGAGATTCTTCTTCTTATTTTTAAAAAATTGGACAATGCTGAACTACTGTACTCATTCATAGATGTTAATAAACGATTTAATAAACTTGTACGTGATTCAATTTTTACAAATCGTTTAACAATGACAAAATATTATTTTTATGGTGGTCCATTTCCTCAACCAAATAATCCAATACTTGATCGATATTGTTCAGAAGTTTTACCTTCGATTCATGATAAAATCAAATGGCTCAATGTTGAACCATCAGCGATGGAACGTATTCTTCTTTGTACAAATTATCCCAATTTATATGGACTTGGTTTATATACTATCAAGAAGGAAACTGCTGTACGTATCTTTACTGGTAAGATATTTTCCTTTGATTTTTTTTTCTCAATCATTAATAGTTCAAAAATACAGACAAATAATTAAGAT